GCATGCGTCGCGAATTTATCCGATCTCTTGGATTGATTTATATAATATCGTGCATTTTTTTTTTCGCGGCGAACTGCTTTTTTCGAGGCGACAGGTTGACGGACGTGACAATTAACTGTGTCTGCACGTGTACGTGTTCGCCTTTAAAAATAAAGATGAGTACAAGGCAAGTAATACAATATCTATGTAGATAAAATCACTGAGATCACTGCACAATCGTGACTGCATGATTGATAGTAATCTATATAGAACCAATTTATCCCTGTCTTATTGTTAAACAAATTTTGTTATAGTATGGATTAAAAATGTCAATATTTCTTGATGACAAAATTTAGCACAAAGCTTTGGATAATGCTCAGCTTAAATTTAAAGTATTATATATATTTTTTATATAAAATTAAAGACTTACATATAAAAAAGCCAAGATTCATATATTTATATAAGACATTTTATATAAAAATAAAATGATTTTCTTTTTTTATTAAATCAAAGATTTTTAAATATATGTTATCATTATAGTAAATATTTTAGGTATAAAATAAAGCAAATTTTTAAGTATTCTTTGTTTCTAAAAATTCAGTATCTATTAAATAAGGTATCAATTTAACAATTTTTTTCCTTCTTGCCTTTTTCAGTACTAATAAAAAATCACTTATATTTTTTAGGACTGTTCGCGATTTCCTGCTTTTTCTAACTCTACTTATATATTATTATCCGTAATTATTCTCACCGAAGAAAGCGAACAATGCGGTTCGATTTTTCACCGACGGCAGGCCATCGTCGCCCTGCATGAATAAATCGCTAAGCTTCCGAGGAGATGGCCTGTCTTGGCCAGCCATCGTGTACACACCATCGGAATATGCCGCCGGAACCTTTCGGATTAGCCTACTGTCTATGGAGGTACATGCAACTAGTATTAGGATAACTTTCCATGGACAATCACCTTCGCTGTGTCATGTAGAAATATAATCGCGAGATCATCACTTTCATGCTTCATCAACTCTCCTAAGAAAAATTTTTCGCGTCATTCTCATGATTGATTAGTTCTGATGTCCTTTCTTATTTGAATGTAAAATTGATAAAGCGTATTTAATTAAACAAACATATAATTTTCGCGTAAACAATCCTTGGTAGCGAGCTACGTCATTTTGTCATCATTTTGACATCAAAAGTTTTTTACCAGAAAAATAATTACAATAGTAATTTTGTCAAAACATATTTAAGAAAAATGTTCTGCTACTTGTTGAGAATTATTGAGCCTCAAAAAAACTATGTATAAATATGAGATTAATTTTTAATTAACTATTGTCAATAAAAAATTGAATAAAACGTGGAAAAATTCTAATAATTTGTTGAGATGTTTCGAAATGCTTTCATTAGTAAATTTATTCGGTGAAAAGGAGAACGCGTAGATTTTAATAAAATGACAACCCTGACGTGCATAATAATAAAACAGCGAAGGTATATATTGGATATTTAGTACACAAATTCAAGTACTTGCCAATTGCACCCCAATCAGGATGTGCTAGATTGTTAAAAAATCCATCGTATCTCTGTTTATTGACCGCATGGCTGTGCCCTGTTCCTAAAATAGGTTTATTTTATATATAAAATAATATTTTATATTAAATAAATTCTCCACCGAAATTTTACAATATAGCGATATTGTTCGCTGAGCGAATTAATTACTGATATTGACATCACGTTTAAATCGTGAGAGTATAATGTAATAATGAGTAATAATCTTATGAGCAACGAGATGTAAAATATGATTTCTCTGTTCTTTAATTAATGATTAGAGGAGCGTAACGCTTTGCTGTTTTGAAAATATGATTAGGATATTCGGGGCAAAATAAATGTGCAAATAATCGAAAGTGGGTTAAAAGTATAGAACTAGTATTTAACGAGCTCTAGAACTACCGTAACATTTCCATCTCTCGTTCCGATTTAGTCCGTAACTTTCATAAATATTTTTTATCATAAATTAAATTAACATAATATTAATGTATATTTTTATTTCGCTTTCGGATTCTTATTCAAATTTGCTTTGTTTTATCGAATTAATTATAGTTCCCTAGATGATACTTAATAAGATTAAGAATTATTATTTATGCAATCGGATATAATTCTTTGAGCGCGATTATTAAATTTATTTTAACAGAATTAAAATAACACACAATTTAAATAATTCATATAATAATACATATCTATTTTATAATAACAAATGTTGAGAATGTTGAGTTGTTAAAATTATTACTAAATTACTTTTTACGTTATTGGTATCAAAAGTACGATACATTATTAGTATAAAAAATTTTGCATTTAAACTGAGTCTCATATAACGACCATTTTGACAGCTCCCTTTTATGAGCGTATGAGACTTATAATTAGGTGCCGGAACGATAACGGCGATTGTACTTACCGGTTTCAACGGGTAATACGGCCCAGAATGCCCAAGCGATCGCGCAAAGCGGCGCGATGCTGCGGGCCGGCGGTCGTCGACGTGTCATCATGTGTCACTCGTTCTCGCCTGATTCACGCCCGTGCATTTCTCTCATGCCAAAGCAAGAGTTTTTCTTCTTCAGATCCTTGGACGATCTCTTTCTATCTTTCTTTCTCTACTATCAACGGTGTCCTCGAGGACGCATGCCGTTGGTACCGACTATCAGCGGGCGATACGAGAATGTACCAACCGCGCGGCACATACGAATCTTTGAATTCAACGGAGTCCAAAGACGCGAACCGGTCCAGAGACTGGAAGGCGGCGGAGCAGTGCGGTGGATTGTTCGCTACCACCTGGCAGTCTCGCCGAAGAAACGAACGAGAGAAAGAGCTCACCGCGAGACACGAAGTGCAAAAATGCCGCCGTATGATTTTTCGACTGGTCACGGATGTGGCGGGCGCGCGGATAAGAATTGAAAAATGAAGGCGGTATGGCGCGCTGCGTAGCACCACGTGCCTGGTCCCGAGAAATGAAATCACCATCCGCTATCACGCAGCACGGGCCGGTCGAGGAAACGGGACAGACGGGAGTGACGATGATACACGCGCGAGTCCCAAGAACGGCTGTGGCAGTGGCTGTCTCTCGGACTGTGGATCTGACTGTGCGCTGGTCCGCGCCTCCGCCACCACACACAGTCGCTCTTGGTCGCGCGGTGAAAGTCGCCGGCCTATTTGTTTCGTTACCGCGAACGCGCCTCCTTCTCCTCCTCCTCGTCCTCCTCCATATCTGTCCCTCTCGCCTCCTCTGCGGGCTACAGCGTCGTCGGCCTCAGTGTTCTTCAACCATTTTTCGTACGGCACTTTTATGTCCATTTTTACCGAAATGTAGATTATAACTTAAACGTACTCCTCATTTTTTTCTAATTCTAACAACTAGAGATAAAAAGTTAAGTTGGACCGAAATTAAAATTAATCTATATTGATAGACATTGAAGACAAGAGTTGGCATTCATACATTCAACGCGTTCTTATCTTGTCAATATTTTTAATCGATTAAAATCAATTGTACAATTCGTTTTATGCTCATTTCTATAGATTAACTTTGTAATTAATCTTGATCTAACTCTTTATTGGTCTTACTCTTTATCTTTTTCCAATGTTTAGAACTGGAAGAAGAAGATAAAAAGTAAGTTAGATCAAGATTAAAGCTAATCTACATTATTAGAAATGGGCATTAATGAAATGGACAATTGAAATCTCAAACTCGTTTTATTTGGAAGAGCCTTATCGATATCTAAAATCGTTCCTAGTAAATTGTTAGAGCCAACCGAGGCTTGAGGGATCATCGTCTTTAGAAACATCCTATTTTAAGTAACGTTCGCGGGAACGGCATTCAAGGAGGCGGTGCATTTACTACGGTCCGCGGCGGCGACGTCACCGCGGGCGCAGGCCTAGTTTTCGAGTCCGCGGCACCGATTACCCAAGGCGAAACCTCTCTCGAGTCCCTGCCGGTCGTTTCAAGGTCGAGCAACGTCGGATGGACGGTGCCGATGCGCACGTTAGAGACGACACGGAGGACACGGTACGTTCGTGTAATCAAGTCGCGACATTCCCCAGTGACTTTTTTTCTCCTCTTCGGCAGCCGTACTATCATAGTGGAAATCCGTGTCAAGTCGATGCAAGTCGACAAACGACTGGAAAGAGGTTGGAAAGAGTAGGATAACACGCTGATACGTCACGTATCCGACATCAATACAAACACAGCCTATTTACGAGTTGGCTCCACGTTTGTATTACGTTGGTATGTCGAACGTTGCATTTGATGATCAAGTAACGTTACATTCAATCAACAAAGAATTTGCATTTGATGAATTTGATTAAATAACGTTATATTCAAACAGCACAGATATTGCATTTGATGATTAAATAACACTAAATACGTGTTCAAACAACAAAAGTCTGAATGAGATGTAGGATGTTTTAAAAAGATTAGCGTGTTTTTAAAACGTCTCTGTGACTGCTACGTGATTAAAATACATAATGATAATTATCTCAAACAATACGTTTGTATTGTTTGGGTTAATTATTGTTACGTATTTATTTTAATAGTACATCTCTTGTCGCGCTCTTGTTTCGAAACACGTAGACCTCTGTTTCAGATCCCAGATTCTCGCAATGTAATTTACACGCAGCTTAATTAGGTTGCTCATCGGGATTTGGGAAGATTCGACGATGGTGCTGTTGGCAGCCGGATACAAAAGGTGCGTCCGTCGGCGGCGAACTCGCATTATGACTCAACCCGGAGAGAAATCGCGTCTACTGTTCTCGACTGCTGGTCGATCTTTTATCGCCCTTGGCACAAATCGGCACTTGGAAAAGGAGATCACACGCATTGTTGTGCACAGCGCGTTCACGCAGCCGCTTCTTCATTTCGGAAGCGCGAGATCTTTCGAGAGGTCTTTCACTCTCCTCCGAAGGAAAGGATGAAATATCACTCGCATAAATTAAAATGCGTTTCTGCAGGGATTCCCTGGTCTTGTTCAATCGCAAGAATGGGATGCACTTGTAAAAGAATTTGTTTATTCGTATACCATCGTTTGCATACAGAATCATCGAACAAAAACTTCCGTTTCATGGAAGGAACGAGATCATCGCAAATCGTTCGCGATCGTCGTGAAATAAAAAAAGGATTGCATATAACTCATCGACGTCGTACTTTCGTTCGTGTATTTATTATTGTCGCGTCGAAAGGCATATCAGCGCGCTCGTTAGAAAATATTTCGTTCCGGTACAAATACTTAAAGTACACCCGTGCTTTCGTGCAAATCCACTCGCATACTCTGGGAAGATGGACGGAGAGACCGCAGGTGTCGAGTGGCGGTCACTTGGAGTTTGAGTTCGAAGGGTAGTAGTAAACCACCGCAGGTGCTGGCAGTTGCCAATGAGCGGCATGGAGCTCAATCAGTTGCAGGAGAGTCCTCTTCACCGGTGGCAGCGTCGTCTCCTCTGCCAGGAAGGCGTCGCGTACGCTACCAAGCAGTTGCTGTAGTTGCGCGGGCAGTTCCGCGTCCAGGTCCTTCCCGATGCATGTGAGGATGAAGAATAGGCAGTTCGTCTATGATATAGGCGGAGAAAGAGATCAACCTTTTATTGAATTTCGACGAACTTCAATTCGGTCAAAGATCGGTTCGTAGTAATTCGGAGAATTCAGCGCGAGAATGATGTAAGTTCATTCGGTCGTTCGAAATGTGAGGCGCGTTCAGATTCCCACTCTCTAGATATCTTTGTTTACACATTAGGTGAACAAGAGTAAAATGATACTTGGATAGGAATTCGAACATAGCTTTGGATGCAATTTCATATTTGTATAGATTTATCTAATACTTATGTTGAAATTTACTCTGTGATTTTGGCTCAAACTTGGAACGGAATAGAAATTTTGTAAGCTAATAGTAAGAAATTTTGCTGTAAGCTAATATAAGATGTTTATTGAAATCTTATAAAAAAATATTGAGAATTTTCGGATTTTCCAGATAAGATTAGAGAATTTTTTATTTGAAATAAATTAGAATGCAACACAAATTAAATGTATTGAAAATCAGTAGAAGGTATTGCATGAAACTATATCTATCATTTTCGAGAATTAGAGCAAACTTATAAGATAGTAAGGAGAAGATTACTACAGTCTATTCTGCTGAGTATTGTCTCACTCTGATATTTTTAATAAAAACTCGCTAGATACACACGAGAATATGCGTAAATAAATGTATGTCACTTATTGCTAACTGATTCAACATTCTGCATTATCAAGAAAAAATGATCAAAGAAATAACATTTTCAAAAAGAAAATATATAAAATATCTTAATAAAATTCTATGAAGATTCCTTATTCTCAAAACTAAAAAAGAAAATTCCCTGAAAATTTCAGATTTCAGGTTTCTCTATATAAATAATAAACACCTTGTAATAACAAATTCGATTGGATGCACTCAATACTGGTGCACAAAGTCATCAGAAATTGATGTAAAGATGTGTATTTAATATAAATATAGATTAATATGGATTAAACACCGAAATCCTTAATAGATTTTATTATGCTATTTTGGCAAAATATATTTTATAATTCGAAATGTTTACATTTCACTTTTACACTTACAAATAGATTAGATTACTGTATAATAGTTTGAGGCTGTGTTCACTTAACATTCGCGAGCATCGTTTGTTCCTGTTTAACATTCGATAAACAACAAGAATGAAATGATTCCACGAGTGTCGTAAGCGATCAATGGAACGCAGCCTTAATATGTCAATACATATTAGCGAGTCCGAATTCGTTATAAGAATAAAGTTAATAAAATCTGTTTTTTGTTATAGGACGATGGTTTTGTTTTATAACACTCGTCAATCGAGCTTACCTCGGTAAGTGAATTGATGGCGGGTGGCTGCAGACAATCCTGGCAACATTTCCAAAGCAGCGTGAGCAGCACGCGTCCGGGAGGAACGCCCTCCTGCTGTGTCTTCAATTGTAGCTGCCGTCGTTTCAACTGGAACAACGCGATTATGCATGTTTATGCGGGCACGCTCGAAAGCTTAGTACCGTCATAACATGCGGCAGACGATAAAAAAAAAATCAACGAGTATATAAATTGAAATAAATGCTAAATTATACGTTAGATCGAAAATTGACCAGTTTCTTTTCATTACACGGAGATATCATTACATCATAACTAGTCAGTACATTTCTTATAGGGATAATGGATACCTCGTGATGAACGTAGCATTATGTGCTTAGTTATACCTGGCAATACATCTCGTTGAGAAACATCATAAAGGCTGAATACCGATGGCAAGTCGTGCCATCGTGCAGTAATCTAACGCGATCCTGGCACCACTGTTGGCACGTATTTAGCAAGGATTCCAGGAAAGTTTCCTTTGTTTCTTTCTGTACGTAAAATGTATCTCAAGTTATATATTTCTTGTGTGCGTCACATTAAGATCATCATCTAAATTAGAATATTACTGTTTGTGCAATTCTTTTAAATACGCATAAAATAAAATAGAACGCAAACAATAGCAATATTTAACAGCAAACGACTATTATTTTTTATAATTTATTCATATTTTTTTAAATTGAAAAAAGATGAAGTTTCTCAAAATATCTCGTTTTTATTTCTTTTACATTTAGTGAAAAGATAAACAGCGAATGTTTATCGTCGATCTTTTTGATCAATTTTACGAAAGGATAATAAAAAAGAAATAACCTCTATAATTGTGATGCAAATTTTAGCTGCCGGCTCGGCATACTTGCGATTCTCCACTACCCTATCCAGAATGTGTCGTACTAGTTCCATCAACGTTCTCGCATTCAAAAGATTCGGATCTGTCAACAACATATATTAACGCTAATTACTTTCAATAATTTTGTAATTGTTATTATAAATTTTTAATTATTGACATTTTTCAATATTTTATCATTAAAGAAATCTTGTAGTTAGAAATATTTGTCTATTTATATTTTTATATTTTGTCTATTTTTGTTGAATTGTTATGTTTCAATGATAGATCACACTACAAAGTATGTAATGTACAATTCGATTGAAGCAACGTGATCTATTTAAGTCCTTAAGCATAATGCATTCTAGTAACTGATAGTAGACAAACTCTCTTACCTTCTATCGCTCGCAAAAGTATATCTTGAACAGGCGAGGGGAATTTCCCGAGCTCGGAGGCGTCCGCGATATTGAGTGCTTTAGCAGCTAATACATCCGTTGAGTTCAGGCTCTTCGAGCGCTTCAGGCCATAAGTCGATACGAAGGTGTGAGATTTAGTAAGCTTGCCCGGTTTCACAGAATTAGTTTTGACTTCGTTCTGTTCCACATTGAAATGTACCCGATTCGCGGCCTAATGGACAAAATAATTTTTTATCTAAACCTAAGAGCTTCTCTCTTAAGTTAATAATAAGTTAACGATCGTTCTGCATTCAATCGTGAATTAAACCGGATGATTGGCTTTGCGTTCAATTTTTTTAAATCTCTCCTTTTAATTTTGCGCACAGTTCATGTTTCTGGATGTCTTCCAGCAAAAGATATAGATGACATAGTGTAACAAAAAGAACTATTACATTCTTGTTCGTCAATTTTAAACAAAGATGCTATAATTATTGTGTTACACTGCGTCGCTTGCTATTTATCACTTACATGCAAGATGTTCCCGCTGGATGCAGAAGTGTCTAAAGGATGGAGCTGTCGAAATGTGGAATTTGCTGTCGCGTGATGGCCACTCTGAGAATGACGGGACGGTAGCTGGTGCTGTTGCTGTTGTTGCAGAGAATGTTGTAGCTGTTGTTGCTGAGCGTAGAGATAACGGTGTATATTACCGCTCGATTTGCTGTGCTGCAGATAATACGAGGAGCGCTCCGATGCATTATTCCGAGACCTGTAGAAATACATGTTCCTTTAGATTATTACAGATCAGTCCAAATTCAGGACGCACTACTGTGTATTAAAGCCGTTGATTTAATCTGTATATAAGCAAAATGCAAATATTTCAAATATAAAATACAAACTTTACTTAACAGCACAATAAAATGTATTGAGGCCAAGTGAAGCTTTCATAATGTAATCCGTTTTTATATTTACTAAACACACATTTTTACGTTAATTTATATATAATTAATTAATTTATATATATGCTTTAACTGCACCAGTGCGCATCAGGTGCATCCATTCAAATTTGCTATGAGATCTTGGAGAGTCCGGGCATTTGTTCGACCAATATTTTTTTTTATCCAAAAACACTGAACACACATATATTTATATTATTGCTATTGTAAATAATTTAGCGATAAAGTAGAACTTAGGAAGGTAATTTCGGATTAAAATATTTTCTCATAAAAAGACAGAGATTGATCATTAAACAAATCATTTTGATGTTACAGCGTTAAATATATAAAAAATTATTTTATTATTTTATTATTTTCATTATAATTAACGTTAAAATCTCTGAACGGTTTCAGAAACAGCGTCGTGACTCAACTCAACCAATGTTCACACGGCGACAGTACACTATTTAAATATAGTCTGCTGCTTCATACTCACTTAGAAGGATGCGAATCGTTCTGCTTCATCGTGAATTCCTTAGCGTGCACGTTTAGTCGAAGATTAGTGACGTTCGCCGTGGTTCCTTCCGCTCTCCCACCTAGAGGTGACCATGAAACTAAGACGATGACTCGAATGATGAATGATAAGCTTTACGATTCGATATGTGCTCGTCATTTAATAGCCGGAGAATACAAACCTGGGGGTCGGTATATTTCTAAGGACGGTTTGGACTTGGGGGTGGCTACGTTATTATTTCCTTTCTGTGGAACTGCATCCCTCATCTAAAGAGAACAAAAAAATACACATCACGCATAAGACACGCAAGAGCCTAATGAGTCTGTCCTCGAAGCACCTTCAAGTGTGCCTCGAGTTCGTGGAAATCTTTTATTCGAGACAGAATTATATTATAGCAAGGCTACAAATAATTGAGAATAATTGCATCGTCTATATTAAAAGCTAATATCAAGTCAAACTTTTCAATTTAATTGCCACTTATGCAAATGGAAAATGTAAAAAGATGATTCAGCATCCGAAGAAAGTGGAAACATTGATCGAAGTGTTCTGCACTTTAATGTTATCATATATAATATTTATTCCATTGATAGATATTTATTTTATTAATATTAATAGATATTTATTTTATGATATTTCAGACATGTAATAATTTTTGAAAATTGAAGTAGTGTAAAATAATGTTAATGCTTTCAAGTGTATCATGTTCTATTTTTTAATGTATGACACATCAAATAAAGTAACACGATGATGTAGTCGAGCTTTATAAGATATAGTTTTGCAATATAATCGAAAATTCCATCATGATAAAAATTATTTCTGGAAAATAACTTTTCCTCTCGGAAGCGTTAAAAATTTTCAAAACAGTATATATAATGCTTAAATATTTATGTAAAGATGTGCAGGTCAATTTTTCATTTAAGCGGAATAATATTAAACAAAACGCGAAGTTCAAGGACTTCTTTTCCCTTGTAGTAAAAATTATTTCTAAATGTCCTGCACAATTTACTGAAAAATGTCTTTGACCATACTTGCGAATAAAATTCCAAAATCTGAAGTTTTAAAATAATCCTAAAATCTTGGCATTCGCTTCTCGCGTTGTATATATGCTACTTAACCACGTGCATTATTCACTACAGTGCATACAGGATGTTTCTTAAGTACTGTCCAAATATTTGAAATTGATTTTAAAAGTTATTTTATGCAAAAAAAAAGTTCGTATTAATTAATATATATGTATGATTCCAAAGAAATACAAAATTTAAAATTTTATAAAATTAACATTTAAAATTTTATAAAATTAACATTTTTACTTTAGTACTTAAATGAATAAAGATTTTTTTCAACTTTGAGCTAGTAAATAGACAGGTATTATCTGTATTTTTTGCCAATAGTCGCTGTTTTGTAAGAAATCAATAACATAGAAACATACACACACACACATACACACATAGAGTTAAGTAATAATATTACTAATATTACTACCCCAAACTTTTACTTTCGATAGTTTTTTTGTAGATTTTTATTATTTCATTACGGTACAATCTCATTGAAGATTCTCAAAAAAAAAAAAAGAAAAGAAAAGAAAAAAAAATCTTTTATATCTTTCTTAAGAACTATTAAATCATTGAACAATATCTATCGAATTTTTAACTTGCTGTATCTTTGAAACAAGGTTTTGAAACCATGTGTTTATATTTGTTTTTATAAAATAATCTTAAAAATCAATTCCTAAAATAATTGAGCAATATTTAAGAAACACTCTATATATACCATATGTGAATATATAATACAGAATATATAATAAAGAGCGTACATATACGTATCTTTCGTTGTAATGTATGCCACAATAAATGCAACGAGCATATTGGCTAAATACACAAGCTCGTTATGGTAACACATCGTGAAGTATGCGAGATGTTAAATATGTATACGTTATACGCCGTGGACTCAATTAAACGCGTGGGTTTAATTTACGCGCCAATTTATTGTCACGGACAGTACCATATTATGAATACATAAATTGTAAATAAATTAATCTACGCGATTAAAAAACAATAGATTGCGTGAATCGGTCTATTCGATTGTCTCTAAGAGACAGTAAATGTCCGGCAAGAAATATTGAAATAAAAAATTTTTATCTGCTTTTTACACACACATTACGTGTTTCACCTATTCTCTTTTATAAAATTTATAGTTTCACAAAAGAGAAATAAATCAATCAAGATGAAAAAACAGACAAAAAAATTGATAATTGCAGTGCAAAGGCGAAGCCTCTCTGTTTTATAAATTAAACATTTGTAAAATTTTCATCAATTCTTCTAAATCGTCTGCTTTCGCAGGAGAAAAAGAAAATACATACGAAATTGGAAGTACACTGCCATTGTGTTTATATCGCTGTTTCAGATCGCGCTTACAAGAAATGCAATGTTATCACGCGATTTTTTAGTTTGCACATGAAAAGAATGTATGAACAGCATTATTCTAATTGAAGATAATCTGACTAATTAAGAATAACAGTATAATATTAATGAAACAAACAGCATTTTATTAAAATTAAAACATGATTTATTTCATTAATATCGAATTAATGAATTAATTAATAATTAACAAGATTATTTTTAATAATCAGGATGTTTACTGAAATTTTGTACAAAAATTCTGATTTTCCACTTTTATTCAAAATTACAGGTAAAATTAAAGATTTTTTAAATTCAATTTCAAAATAAATTGGAATGTGAGAGCATCAAACTATATATTGAAAATTAGTAGAAGACAGAAATTCCAATGTCTATAATTTTGTAGAGACGATATGTACATTATTTTGTACAATAGAACCGCAACATGTAGAATAATATAAGAAAGGTTCGCTACAAACAAAATACTATCAGTCATTCTATTTTGCTAAGTATTATCTTCTAATGTCTTGATTTTTTAATAAAAATTCACAAAACACAAAAATATATATAAATATACGCGAATGTGTATGTCATATTCATTGCTAATTGCTAATATTTACATTATCAAGAAAAAAATGTTTTTAATGATGTTTTGAAAAAGAGACAATTTTTCAGGCAATTTTTAAAAGTAAAAATTCCAAAAATTTTCCAATCAGATCCAATAAAATTCCATAAAAATCTCCGATTTCCAAGAGTGAAAAAAGTCTCCCGAAAATTCCAGGTTTTCCAGGTTTTTCAAAATATTGGGTCATCTAAAAAGTATCCGCGGTTTTTTGTCACTAGATGTGTGTTGATGGTCATATATCTAGTGACAAAGTACCGCGGATACTTTTTAGATGACCCAATAATAAACATCCTGTTCAATTAGATTGCTGTTAGCTAACGCTGTTTATACACCCATCTGTTTCCATGCACATCGTCTTCCTATTCGCGCGCGTCAATATATCCGGATAGATTTTGCAAGTCTGCCAAGAGACTGAAGAGACGCGCCACGTATCTTTCTCATCGTCATCGTCACGACGTTACGATCATCAAGAAATAACTGCAAACGGAGCAAAACAATAAATAAAACACCTTTCGATAACCACATGATACCGTAATGTCCGTAACAATACCCTATTTTTTTTCCGCGAGTTGCATGACGTGCTTCGACAGTCGGAAATATCGAGAAATGTTATCGGTATAATGCAGAATGACTCAACTGCGGAGACCATGACTCTCTCGACATATCGAAAGCAGATGTTGCGAACACCGGCATAATTTCGATGATTTCAGATCTCAGCTACGTACAACATACGTATCATGAAAAAAAAATCGATCCCGACGAAAGCCGTTCTCAAGTTAATCAAAGCTGATCGCAGTCTAACCGAGTTAAACGACGATCGCGACTCCTCCTCCTACTGGATGTGAAATGAATCCAAAGAGAGAGGGAAACGGACAATCAATTAAACCTCGCTTCAATTTAAGTGTAGTAGTTATTTGTTACGTTTATTTGTTACGTCTGATGCTTTTCTCGGTTTCTATCAATTTAGATTGATCTTACTCTTGATTTCAATTTAAATTTTACCTTCTCCTAAGGCCCAGTTTCACAACTCACGGTTAACTCTTAACCGAGGTTCAACTTATTCATTGTTTCTTTCCAATTCTAAAATTGAAAAGAGACAGACAACAAGTTTGCACAAAAGACAACGCTGCCTCTTTTTATGTCGCTTTTCACCAATACATCGGAAGAAAAAAAATCTAAGCTTGATCGAGAAACAGGGGGTGCTTTTAGTGACACAAGTCAACACAAGTATCATTCTATCCTTGTTAGATGAATGGAATTTGTTGAACAGAACGACACTACAGTGTCGACCCGTGAAACGAAAAGCCCCCCTGTGTTTTCATCGAGACAAAAAAAATCGCAGGGAGAATGAATCCGCGGTGGTGAAAGAAAAAAGAGGGAAGAAATGACGAATGACTCACAGTGAAGAGCGTGCGAGAATCATCCTTTCCAAGGTCCAACGATCGGATGCTACTGAGATCCTTCTTCTTGTATACCGTTAAGTGTAGCAGGCGCACCGTACGGAACGGAACCTCGCGGCGGCGCAACGCGTGCGTTCCGCACGCACGTGCACGCACGGAGCCGAATTTCCGGGCGTGATCCAAGAGACGCGCACGGCGCACTTTCTCGACGAGAGAGGCGCGACTTTTCCGCGTCGAACGTGCGTACGTGCGTGCGTACGTGCGTCGTCGCCGTTGTCGTCGTCGTCGTCGAGTCTTCGCTCGCGCACGCAGGGCCTCCTCTCCGATGACCGAGGACTAATAATAGTCACGGCGTAGCCACGAGCGAACGCGAGCGAACGCTATATATCTACGTGCGACGCTGTGTATACGTATTAAAGTATATACGCCGCTACTTCGCGCGAGAAAAGCAGACTGAAATATCCAACGGGAGTCGGAACGCTCGCGTCGCGACGCTTCTTTTTTCTCTCTCTCTCTCTCTCTCTCTCTCGCTCTCGCTTTCTCTCTTTCTCTGTTTCTCTCGAGTCGATCATGGGATCGGAGAGAGATCGGGAATATCAGGCTAGTAGTCATCGGTTCTTATTTTAAGATTGTCTTAAATAATGTCTTAAAAGATACTAATATTGTTTTGTGGTTGACATTCGCATAGTTCGTTTTTATTTTTTAAGACAAACTTAAGTAACGTCTTAAGATGCTAATACAGCTCTTTGATTAGCTTATGATATCTTAAGATTGTATTTCAGACGGTTTTATATATAAGATTTCGTCATGGGTACTTTTTATCGAGTGATACAAGTCGACACGAGTATCATATTTTTCTTGCCATTCAGAGAATAACAAAGATAGAACGATACTTATTGTGTTGACTTGTGACACCAAATGGAAAATATCCTTTGAACCTACCGGGATATAATTCATGCTATTCTCCGGTGACGGCGGCGAAGAGTTAAAAAAAGCTTGTTTACCAACGCTGGACACTTTTGATTCCGCTGATAGCGAGATAGAAGCTTTTTGTCATTGAAATCTCTATTAGAGATTTCATGTTTACGTAAACATACGTGAATTGCTTCGTGCAGATAAAGATTTCTTCTGTGCTTTTATGATGATCTAATCTAACATCTCCGACTGTAATCGATGAATTTTTGCATAACTTCCATATTCTTAACATCTATGACATTATATGCTTATTATTTATATTTTACATAAATCTTATCACACTTTTATCTTGCGTATGTGCCATTTAAAAGAATGTGAAGAATTAAAGAAATTTTTCTTATTGAAATAGAGAGATTGGTCTCTGTATTGAAGAATGTTTGATCTTTAAGTATGTATTAATCCAACATTATTAATGTCTATTTTTATACCAATGTAAATAACTTTAATCTCGATTAACTTAAACATTTTTTATCTTTTCCTAAAAATTAGAAAAAGATAAATAATAAATTAAATCAAGATTAAAAACAATTTACGTTGATAAAAATAGATATAAATCCCGAATAAATAAATAAATATATATATATATATGGAATAACTATAATAAACGAAGAAAATGTTACATATAATTTACATTTTATTTACGATTATAAGTATATCAAACGCAATAAATTAAGAAAAAAATATATTTCAATTACTTTTTTATATTTTCTGCACTTTATAATAGTCATTTAATAAGAATAACACAACACTAAGTATTAATTTTATTAAATTTTCCACTTTAGTAAAATGATAACGAATAAAATGATAAGGCATTAATAAAAATTACAAAAATCTCATCTTCAAAAATAAAGATGATTATGAAAATACGATACTCTGTTTTGCAAACTTTTACCATGTGAAGTCATAATTTGTCGCTTCCGCATGAATTTTTCGTCATCGCGGACTACATTCTTCTGAATAGATCCATTGTTTATTCACATGTCTGGCATCGAAGTTCTATTCATCTCGTTTCGCATTCGATCAAGAACAATGATTATAAAAATATGATGAATTCGGGAAAATCCCTAATCTCGCTGTCAATACTGATAAAATAATACTGATAAAAAAAAACGTACTAACAGGTTTGAGAAGTGTGCGAAATTGAGAGTCTGCTCACTATAAAATTAACATAATAATGGCTGAAGGCCTCACCTTCGTCAGCGCTCCATTCGCACGAGTTGCTCGCACCATTCTCGCTGTTTATTTATCATCAAACATTCAATGAAGATCGATGTTAGTGCCGTGTCAGGATTATCTTCACAGTATATTTTTTACATTTCACGTAATTCGACAAACAATCTCAATCGCGAGTTTCTCCTTTTTAATCGTCTTCTGACGAGAATTTCAATCGTCGATGAAAAAAAAACTCTCGATCTATGGTCAATCTCTGATGCCCGATTCTATCGATATAAAATTAACTTTAATCTCGGTTTGATTTACTCTTTACCTTTTTCCAATTTTAATGACCATTTTTACCAATGTATTTTAATTATAATCTCGGTTTTCAACTAATTTAACTCTTCATCTTTTTCTATTTCTAAAAATAAGAAAAAAAATGAAACGTTGAACCGAGATTAAAATTAATCTACATTAGTAGAAACGGACATTAGAAATACAAATAATCTATAAACAGTAAATTAAACCGAGAATAAAGTTAATCTTACATTGATGAAACCAGGCCTGAGTCACGCTTATTTCAAAATGATGCCCTTTGTCTCCACGTTTTGCTGAATTTTTCGTAGCACTTTTTGTCGGAATTCATTAGAGATATTTAAAAATGCTGAAATTATAAAATGCTGAATACTTATCGCGAAACGTTCACGATCACGTCACTCCCGGCGCGACTCGATTTCTAAGCGCGATCAACGCCGCTCGTCGTCTACGCCTCGCTCGATCCAGCCAATCGATCATCCGACCGAATGCAGTCGTATCGCGTCACTCGTCGAAGCTATAGATATCGTTTCTCAATTATTACCACGATGATTCACCTCGTGCTGGATAACGGCCGCTACTAGCATCTTTTCGGAGTTCTTCCCGCGCGTTGAAATCACCGAGAATTGTTATTCCGGAGATTTCCGGAAGAGAACCGGACGCGAGAGTTACAACGTGGTATCGGTACTGTCACGCCGATGACTGGAAATATACACGGCGTGCACACACCTAACATTACTTAATACGCGATTTGCGTAGTAGGCGGCCACGCAATCCGCCTCCGTACACCTGCCGACGCGGATCACCGACAGAAAAAAAAAAGAAAAGAAAAGAAAAGTCATACCGCGCACGAATCGAAGCGGCGCGGCTGAAGGAGCGCCATTTATATCGGTCATTTATCCGCGTAAGTAAATTCATCGCAGGTTCGTTCGCATGACCCACGCACTTATCTCAATTTAAATTGTAATTAACTTTGAAGAAATTGTATTGCGCTTTTTTTAATTACCGCGCTAACTCCTTACGGTCCTTTTTTTATACAATCGTTTGATTTATTTATTTTTTTTAAGAATATAGGATCGTAATCCGGTCGTTTTATTTTTATTGTATCTTTTCATACTTATCTCAATTTACACACAATTAATTTATATGCATCTTTTTTTTTTTTTACTTTACGATAAGCTTATATGTGGATAAACAAGATATATGGTAATAACGTATGTAAATATATGACACTAATTAATATTAATTAATATGTATATACAAAAAAACAAAGAATACTTTTTAATTTGTAGTATTATATAACAAATGTTATAATTTATAATAATGAAAATATTTAAGAAGTAATTAATAGATTGGGTCTAACAAATATCTTTCTTCTCCATTTACTTTTTAAAATTTATTTCTGTGTATTAAGAATCTATGAATTGCATTATGCGTCAAATGTAACAATAGTAAATGTAACAATGGTCCGTAAAATTAAACATTCTGGAAATTGTAAGTTGCAAAAGATTTCCTCTCTACTCTCTACAATAGTCTAGAGAATAGTGATCACCTGGAGATCACCTGGAGTGAGTTTTTTAGCCTAGCAGCGAGAAAATAAAATTAAGTCATGATAATATTAAATCAGAGCGAAGTGATAGTTTTATACCCAATTTATTGTACATAACACTGAAATAAGTAAAATGATACACATGACAAAGACATGTCACACATCCACACGTCGCATACATTCACATTTATGCTCGTACATACACACACACCCTCAGAAATCGTTGCTTATTTATTTATGGATACGATTTATAGAGGCTTACAAATCATAAAGCAGTGATAAGGTAATCCTAATCTTAAATGGAAGCATAAATCATTTATCACTTTTCCGTCTAATGGCTAGACTTCGTTACATATCGTTCGATGATATTTTCCATTCCTTAAATGTCTAATGCATTTCGTGTTACAAATAAATATGTATGTTTTCTTTATAAGCTAGAAAATTATAAACTAAACTCGCTGATTTGTTAATTTTTGTCTTATCAAAATAGAACTAGAATCGAATCGACAGGTCGATTCGCTTAATGAACGGCAGATATGTCAGTTCTCATTGTATATTATTCGAATATCTTTTTGTTTGCGCGCATGCGAACATCTGACAATGATATCCGAAGTGCACAGATTCCTGGCATTCTTGCGTGAGAACTGACGGTAAGTTGAAAGTTATTGCAAAAAAAATCTTATAATTACAATATAATTTGATTAAGATTGAACTTAACTACAACTAACACATTAGAAATGAGCACGAGACCATCGCATGACGCGGTATATATAAAACATTTGTCTAATCATTTGATCATTAAAACAATAATAAAAACAGTTAATTCCTCTTAAAAGTAAAAATCAAAATAAACCGCATCAGCACCAATGTTTCCTTGAGAGCGCGTCGATTTAATTAGGATTAATCTACTAAAACTCTCTCGTGCTCGTAGGACGCACTCTCGGTCTCTCGCTTGCAAAAATGCCCTGATTTCATAAACAAGACTCATTACATGGAATCCCGCGGAAGTAACAACGCGTGCGTTGTGTGAGGCAGTGATGTCAAGTAGCGTTTCCGCATAATTCTGGCATGCTTTAATTTAAAGCGAATCTTAGGTAACAGTTATATAGTTTATACAGCAGTTTTGGTATCTATCAAAATCTGACAGTGGATAATTCAGGACACATAATTGGTATCTCTCTTATAAATTTCATGTCGTCGAGTAATATATATTTTCGAACAGCGTCTTGACAACTCTGTAGGCACAT